AATACATCAGAACAGAGAGGGAATGAATCCCCGAAGGTCAGACCAGCCATCACTAACTAGTCAGTTACTCATAGTCAGTCTATGGTCATAGTCTATTCTGTGGACTGACACTAAACATGCTCCTCTCCAGAAACACACTGCAAGTTAACACACATGTGTCTTTCTATATTTAATATTCTATAGCATCTAATAACAATAGTTAAGGCTGAATTACATGTAACAACAACAACAATAATAATTATTATTATTATTATCATTATATAAACTTGGACTATGTTAAATAAAAAGGAAAGTATATAAATGTATACAATAATTGATCAGTTACATTACATGTAATTTAGCTGATGCTTTTATCCAAAGCGACTTGCAATAAGTAAGTTAATAATCATTGCCATGCAGTAAATATCATATAGAAAATGTACGAACATAATGAAAAATGTCCATCTGAGTCCTGTTGCTGAGATCTTCAAATGAATGTGTCTGAAAAATTCAAAAATAAATCAAACCATCTTCATAAATGAAACTGAATGTCCTGTCAACTGATGTATTGTTATCTTTAATAAACCTAGTGTATATAAAATAAGTTTGTGAGGGAAAAAAGGAAATCGCGCCAGGGTGGAGGGTTCGTGGGGAATATTCTCATTTACATATTGACATAGATTTGGTCGATGTACAACCGAGTGCTGGGGTCCTTTTCTCTGGCCCCTCGTTCTTTTCAAACACACACACACACTTGCACACAAACACACTTGAAAAGAAAATGTATCGACAGGAAGCGTCCTTGCTCTCTCGACCTTTCCCCCTTCAGATTTGTTCTGGAAGGACTACAGAGAGACTGCAAGGATCATTGATCAATGGAAGAATTCACTATGTGTGTGTGCTGGTGCGTGGATGTGTGTACTTGTGCCTATACAGAGTGATGACATTTTTCAATGGATTTAGTTTTGATGGTTAAGGAAGGGGCGAGGGAATGCATTATGCGTGTGTGTGTGAGTTTGCTGATGCTGCCTGGATTCATTGATCTACACCTTCGATCATACAGAGCAAACTACTTGGCAGAACAATCTGCAGACTCTCAAGCAGCAACGTTACATTTGACTGGCTCTGTAGCTCATGTGTGTCAGGTACGATGATTCAGGTGGAGGGTGTGTGTTGGACACTGTGGTGATGTCCCAACCCTCTGGTCTGCTGCATGGGAACAAACCAACATTTAGCAGCTGGTCTCAGGAAAACTCTCCTCTACAACCAGAGGAGATATTTGTGGCAGCAGGTTTACAGTAAGAACACGGTTATAGTCAGCGAGGAACTTTAATGACAGACAGGAACTGTACAAATTGTGCAAGCCTGTGATTTCTTTGCTTTCCTCCTCATGACTGTTTTTTGGGGGTCGGCCAGTGAAAGCAGGTCACTATGTTAGCACACTGTGCAGCTCCAACCTTATCCTTGCAGCTGCTTTTCTCTTATTCACTATGCTTTAGTATGCAATGGATCTTCATAATGTGTTTGTCATCTGATTGTTTTATAGATTTTATTATAATTTGATAAAAAAAAGTGCCAGCATACATTCAAAAATTCTATAATCATAAAGAAAAAACGTGTTTTTGATTTTCTTTTAGAAACAAAAATGTGTATATTTTACTTTCAAAAATGTTCAGAACCATTGCTGTGGATCCAAACTGTGCTTACGTGCACCTTTTTTGCTTTAGATGAATCTAGAACGTGACCGTAGTTCACCTGTGGCAAACTGAACTGACTTAGGAGCTGAAAGGAGCTTCCTGTGCGGACCTCTGATAAAACTGTGGTGAGGTTTAGAAGAGGACAAAGGTGTAAAACCACGTCAGAAGCTTCGAGGCATCAATAACTGTGTAATAGAAGACGTTTCAAAGCTGCAGGATTCTCCCTAGAGTTCCAGACAAACTGAGTAACTGGACAAGAAAAGCCTCGGTCAGTGAGGATCAAGGAGATTGAGAACCTGCTGGACGTATGACCATCTCAGCAGCTTCATGTTAGAGAGGACAGACAGAAGACATTATGAGTTTAAGATGTGGCACTGAGTTTGTCAATCAGCATTTAAAGGACTGAGACAACGAAGATTATCTGATACAGGAGAAATGAATTTTAAGAACTCCAGATACTATCTCTGGCGAACACCACATCCATAGATGGTGTTGAACGGTAGATGGGGTTTTTTCCGCAGCAGGAGCAGGGAGACTAGTCAGAACTGAGAGAAGAATGAAAGCGGCCAAACGCGGAACCTGCTCCAGAGTCAAGGACCTGAGATCATCCACTGGTTCACCTTTCAGCTTGAAAATGACCTGAAGCAAACAGCCAAGACAACCCAGTGTCTTCACGAAGAATCTCTGTATGATTGTCTTCAGGTTCAACCTGTTTATCCGTAGGACAAGTTTTGTCCCTGTCCCTGAGTGACCCAGCCAAGGTCCAGATTTAAACTCTGCATTTAAAGCATCTGTGGCGAGACCTGAAGATGCCAGATGCCTCTCATCTACAGGGGCTTCCACAAAGTGTTTCAAGGGTTAGTTCACAGAAAAATAAAAAATCACTCATTAGTCGGTAGGTGATGCAACACTGCATTTGTTTTCTACAAAGTGTATTATTATCGGCTGATGTCGATCTGTTTTCCTCCAACGTTAGTTCATTATTTAGCTTTTTATGGTGTCTGCTCATTGTGGACTGCATTTCTGAGCCAACTTTAGCCATTTTTGTGCACTGTTGACTACTGTAGAGTAGCAGAAGAGATGTATCCCAACTCTTATTCATGAAACTCAATCTTAAGAGAACCATAGACAATAGAGGAAGCTGGGGAAGGGCTCATTTTCAACATGTAAATTGAGTCATATATTTTAATTTCAAAGATGCACATGTGGGTGTTTCCTCTCCTGTCATGACAGAATCCACATGCACATAACTTTTAAAACCAAGTGTTCTGTCATTTTTTGTGTAAAAATGAGACATAACATGTTTATGAGTGAGCTTAAGAGTTGACATTCTCATTTTGTGGTGTTGAAGTGAAGTTTCACATAAAATGGTGTCAGTTTAAACTATTATCAGGTGAGTTGTGTAGATTATGACCTCTCCTCCCTCTCATACTGTATTAAGTTAACAGGGAGCTTTCCCACCACTTATCATTTCATCTTTATTTTTAATACACAGGTAAATGAGTATTAATAAATTAGATAAAAAAATAAAAGATCAGTCAAATACCATATTATTGCCAAAACCAAAACCAAATATGATATGATGTATTTTCTAGGTTAAGATAATGATTGAAATTTGTATTCATTCATTTATTTATTATTATTTACTCTTTTTTTGCAGAACATGGATAGTGGGTGGGGGGTATGATTAGGGACAGGACAATGGCCGGAGGTATAAAGTCCAGCACTGTCATCCCTAAAATGCCGAGTCAACTAAGCTAATCTGACAAACGGCTGTAACAACTGGAAATCCATAGTGTTTCATCATGAACATCATGTCTGTAACCTGTCACATCTCAGTTTCTCAGCTCATGTAAAGCATGCACCAATGTATTTTCTAAGTTGAGATAAGCATTAAAAAATTAAACCCACATCCTCCAATAATAATATAATAATAATAACTTTATTTGTATAGCACTTTTCTAACCAAGGTTAGAAAAGTGCTCCACACAAAAGTCCATGGCAAAGTGAAGAATCGATTGTAATAAAAGTTCAGTCCAATTTAAGAGACAATTCATAACATAATAAACTCAAGACCTTAAGATTATAGAGAAACCAAACGGTTCCAAGTAATGTCACTGTTGTTAGTTTAGTTATTCAGCTACTAAACGGATACTGGCACACACCCACCTGGTTATTGTGTGTATTAGTGCAGCAGAAGGGCTGTTATTTGTGTGTTTGGCCCTTATCTCAAATGTCTTGATTGACTGAAATAGGAGCACATTGTATATGTACGGTGCAGCAGCTGTTGCAGGTTAAATGGAGCAGCTTGCATCATTAATCAAACCACACGGTTTCATCACAGTCCAGGTCAATCACTCTAATGAGGTCAGACTGTTTCTAAGCCACACTCAGACATTTTCTCTCATTTCCTCCCCAAGCACAGAAAGCCACACTCCCACCGAATTCTGTACTGCTGTACAGAGCGGGCAGTGTGTGTGTGCGTGTGTGTGTGTGTGTGTGTGTGTGTGTGTTTTCTTTCCAGTATCAAAACGCCTCTGTGAGTGTGGTGACCCAGCCCTTCCCAAACTACAGTGACACTTGTGTTTGATTCCCGCTGACTCAGCTGAGGACTCAGCAGTATGTGTGAAGGCCTACAGGCCACCTCACTGAACTTTAATCATATTGTTAGTTAATAAATTTCTCGTCTCTAATATAACAACTTCAATTTATAAAGCTCCTTTCAAAAGACCCAGAGACACTTTACATGTGTCCGTTTGGGCAGAAAGAGAAAGATTTGCAAATAAAAAACAACCAGGGCAGAAATAAACAGCACTGATAACTGAGTGGAGCCTTAACTTAGTGAGTTTGAGGAGTTTTTTGAAGCTGTCCAGAGATGCAGCATTGCAGATTGCATAAACATGACTTTTGACATTCCACACATTCCATTAGTCACTGTATTTACTGGACGTGTCATGGGTTAAACTGCTGCTGACTCAGTTGCTATTAAACAGAAACAATCAATGTATAACATTAACATGTATTTTGTTTCTTTATTTGGCCACTAGGAGGCTGTGTGTGTGTGTGGGGGGGGGGACTATAAACACATGGATGAAATTGTTTCACTGTGGACAAATTCCTTATAGTTGCACTGTTTCAGTCTTCACTTACTCTTTATCACAAGAAGCAGCTGCACAGGCCACCTACAGGGTCATGTAACAGATGAGTTTTTATGTTTAAAGCCACATTTTTTATTGAACTAGTTCCAGCAAAATAAGGCCACAACTTGTTTTTACATTTCTGCATTTGCATAAACCCACAAGGTACATAATCTTTAATTAGATGTTTACCCTTTTTCTCTCAGTTCATCCTGCTATTTCTCCCCTCACCTCTTTCAGTGCTACTGACCTGAGTTCACATAATAACTTCCTGTGTACTGTTTTTTGTCTGTTTCCTTTCAAGGAGTCAGCGAGGATGAAGATGTGAAGCGGATGTTGCAGGGCTCCAGTATGGTGAAGGTAAATAATTGAACTAATTCGTCTGTGGTAGTTATTGGTGGTAGCTGGTAAGAGGGATAAAAGAAATGATAGCTAATGGACTGATTGATCATGTGTGAAGGTTCGCTCACCTCGCTGGCAGAAGCGACGAACTCTAAAGCTGCTGGAAGATGGAGTCACTGTGTGGTGTCAGTCCCAAAAAACGTCCTCCCGTGCCAAGGAGCAACAATCCTGTAAGTGTTTATGTTCTTTCCCCAGAATGTAAATCAAGATCCAAATGTTGGAGCACAGGAATGTGTAATGGCAGCCACTGCAGGAACACACACTACTGTAAAAACGTACAACACCCTCTGGTGATGGAGCAGACGTCTTCTATTTGAATCAGTCCAGCTGTCAACACAAGTCACTTGACAATCCAGCATTAATTGGGACCTGAACTGTGCTTTACACACTTTAACTGCTTCAGACAAGCATTTAACTCTTTCTCCGGAGTTTCTCTGGCCAGTCCTCCAGCAAAACCTCTGGAGGATGTCCGCATAAGCCGATGTGATAACACTTCAGGAGATTCTCTGCAGGACTCACCACGAGTGAGTGAGCGCGTTGATGGCGCTCCTAACATGCGACAGACGCAAAAATGAAAATAACAAAAAGAGAACGACCTCAGGATGAAGAAGACGCTGACGAAGGTGTAAAGAGAACCTGTGGTGATGAGGGCAGGTGCGATGATGTGCTTGTAAACAAAAACATGTGATCTTGGCAGCAGAATAATATGTCAAATCAATCAATCAATCAATCAGTCCAATGTATTTATATAGCACGGTCACAACAAACAGTTGTCTCAGGGTGCTGCACAAAAGTCCAAGATCTTAAGAAACACAAAATCCAACTTGTTCCACACCGAGCAAGCATGAGCAACAGGTGGAAGAAACCTCCGGCAGAACTGGGCTCAGTGTGGACGGCCTCTGCCAGGACCCCCGGTTGGAGTGATAATGGAGAAAGAACAAGTAATGTAGGGGAACAAAAGGAAATAAAGGTGGGGGGTGGGGGCACTCCTGCCTCCCTCATGGTCCAACATATGTAAGCTGTGCTAGCCCTCACCTGAAGGCTCTGGAGATCTGTTTTGTTGTGAACGCGTCACCGGAGAATCATCCGCTATAAAGTAACTACAGTGATTGTGTATTGGGATCTGGGTTCTTCCGAGAACACAATATGCTCTTCACGCTGACACCTGCAGTGTAGACACTGTGTTAGAAGTACTGACACAGACTCAAGACCCAGGGTCACACAACAGCACCCTACGACAGGATTAGACTACATTGGACCCAGAGTTTTTAGTTGCAAGGAACCAAGTGGGCACATGAAGACCTCTACCATACATGAAACACAGCAGAGTCAGTTTCCATAAAACCATTGAAGTCCTCCTTTCAGGGGCTCCACCCAGAGGTTTAAGAGCCATGTCTGGATCATAATTGGTAACAAGCAGGCCTGTCCTTTTCCCTTCAGTTCCAGAAGAGCTCAGCACCGACTGGGTGTGTGTGAGGTGAAACATGAATTTACTTTGTCTATTTTTGTTAACTTTAAATGCTACTTACTGCTCTGCACAGACACCGGCTGCTCTCCGTCTCCTGCGCTATCTGAGGGTCACACACACAGCGCCGTGATTACAGAGCTCATCTATTTTCAGCCTCAGATGGCAGCCGACGCAGCTCTAGTTCAAACAGTGTGATTATAGGACGTTACATGGTGGTGGGAGTTGGTCCTGGAGCTTGTGGCTTGGCGCTGTATGGCTACCACATGGCTCGACCACAAGGTTAGCCTCCCTGCTGCAGGACAAGGCCTTTAATTGCCACAACATTAGATGTGCTTGTGATGTGGCACTCTGTGTGTGTGTGTGTTTGTGTGTGTGTGCACGCATGCACCGCGTCCTATGCTTTCGCGACATCCTGGATAACTATGTATCCTTTAAATCAGAGAATTTATATATTTGTATACGTTTATTTTATTGTTCCCACTACTTTTAGATGAATATCCTCCTGTATCCCCACTGGGTGGTCTGCTGCTATGGTTACTAATCTGGCTTGTGACCCTTACAATTAAATAAGGTCTCCAATCACAGGTTACGTCCTTAGTTTGGACTTGAGTTGGGAGCAGTAAGATTGTTTTATTTATGTTTTTTACAGATTTTTAAAATCCTGAAGAGGTGAAAGAATCTGTGTAAACATTTGTCCCTTTAATCCTATTAACCACATGATGCAATAATGGCAGTACAACAAAAACACGTTAACCTTGCTAATGCAGTAATCAGAATTAATACTTGCTGTATTTTTATCTTACAAAGTACACACTTGCTGCTGCCCCTTATACTTGTTGCTTTAAGCACAAGATAATAAGTGAGAACAAGACGAATGTCAGCATTTGGATCAACTCCTCTCTTGTCTCGTCTGAACAGTGAGAACAACCTGAAATGTTCAAAGTTTAGTCATTGGAAGGGTCACAGTGTCTTCAGTGAGCTAAAATAGAAATAAGATAAGGTCCACTGAAGTGCTGCACTGAAGATAAGTACTGCACTTTCAGCAGTGCTTTTACTTTCCAAGCCAACGCACTAGTCCGATACATAACACACATTCATGGAGGTTGTTTTTGTCCTTGGCTAAGACACAGACCCTTGTTGACACACAGCAGAAGGAGTGTGTTTGGATAGTACACAAAATTCCAAACTCCGATCCAGCACAGGAAACGCTAACACGGAAAATACAGTATATTTTAGAAATAGAGTGAAAAAACATGAGCAGGATACCGAAACCCAGAAAAACTGGAAAGTCTCTGGAATCAAAAAGCAGGATTATCTAAACAAGCATAAATGAATATGGTGAATGTGCTATTACATTTTCCTTCTGCTGCTCAGATGTGTGTGAGTATTCATGTCAGCACAAATTAAACACCAACTGAAATACACACTAGACGGCCTTATTGAATGTCAAAGAAAACGAGTTGTTGCTGTGAGCTGCTTTATTGCTACAATATAGACTCTGCATATACGCAGAGCAAAGAGGATACACAGTGTCATTAGAAATTATTCACGACACAATCCATCAAACCATCCTTTTTTTTATTTAAATGCATCAAATTTACAATTTTGCCCATTAATCTCCACCCAATTCTTCCATGGCAATTTTATTAATGATACACAATAAAATACAATCCAAACATCATATCATGAGTCTTATATTGTTTTTACTCCTGCTAGATTGATATTTCAGGGAATGTGAGATGAAAACCAAACAGACAGTGAGTTTGTGTTCCAAAATGAGATTAAACCTGTAAGTAAGTCACCTATTGTGTAATGACGCATTAGTTTGATAATGTTGGGGCTGTGTAATGGATTTGTAAGGTGTGTCCAACCTTTTCAAACATTATAATTAGAGACTCCTGTAAAAAATGAACCCATCAGTCAGGGGTAGGGATCTTAATGTGACCCATGGTTAGGTTTTCTTGTAAGGCGACCTCTAGTGGCCTTAGTATTTATGGTGGGAGCAAAGGGGGAAGTCAGGTGATTGAGATGATCCTCTAACCTTAAAGAAGTGCTTATCTGTACCCAAACGGTTTCATATGTTTTATGATGGTAGCCATTAATGTGTTTATTTTTTGTAACTTATTCTTGCCGTAAAAGAGACTTTATTTCAGCTCTAAAAGGGAAGTGTAGAGTCAAGCAGACCTCTCCTCAATATAGAGGCTTAATGAAAGCTCACAAAATGTGAGTTTCTGAAAACTGACTGACTGAAAAGAGAACAATGCCCGTGTGGTTTCCTGTTCAGGATACCACAGCAGACAGACTTCCTCAATTTACTGATCCGTCTTCCCAGAGTAATGACCTCTTAATGAATTAGTTTTTATTCTTTTTTTAGAAAATATTTCAGTCCAAGCTCTTATATTTCCAATTTACTAAAAGAAGTCAAGGATCAATACGATATAATACCTCAGAAAGACTGTAAGTGATTACTGTTGTTCCATTACAAACAACATTCTTCACACACAATTACTAGGTGGATATTTAATTCAGCTGTACGTGTTCTTTCTTCTTCTCACTTCTCAGTCTCTGTCTTGGAGGTGGAGTGCGTTCGGGAGGGTTGCCAGTCAGAGATGTTGCGGCAGTTGGGTGGGTCAGTACCTGAGGGCCGGTGCTTGACGGTGGTCTTCAAAGGGCCCAGAAAGAGCCTGGATCTCCTCTGCCAGAGCCAGGAGGAGGCTCAACACTGGGCCCGCGGCATCCGAAAGCTGCAAGGGAGAGTGGAGAACATGAGCCAGAAGGAGAAACTTGACCAATATCCTCACTGATGTTCTTTTGGAATTAGCCTACACCGAAACCGGGAGAAAATATACAGTAGTTCTGAAAATACAAACACAAGGTTCTTCCATATTCATTTGGAAGAATGAAAATAGGTTATTTTGTGTTGGACGCCCCATGAGCCCTATACAACGATCCTTCAGCCCCAAGCTAGGACACTTTAACATTATTGTGTGTACCATTGTGTTGTTTCCTTAACTATTTGTGTGTCACCTGGATTCATGCTTACCTCAGTCGGGCTGACCAGAACCACGATGATAAGATGAGCTATGAAGAGGTCCAGACTCTGCTGCAGATGATCAACATTGATCTGAGCGATCAATATGCCCGCAGCCTATTTCAGGTGGACAGACACACAAAACATATTTAGACCCGATAACCTTATATAGGGTTTAAACTAATATTTAAACTTCTGTCATCAGGTTTGGGTCAGATTGTTTCGATCTGAAGTTACAGAATACATATTATTAGTAATATAATATATTATGCAATCTAAACAGAAATATTTGTGGGTTAGTTCAAAATCATACATTGAAAATACTGCGCTTTATACTTAGAATGGACACACCCACAAAACTTTGAGTCCCACAAATATTCTTTTCTCTCTTGAAATCTCTCAAAAAATGTTCAATACAAATTAAAAAAACATTTTTTTCAAATGTAATGTGTTCTGATTAGAGTTACTTCTTTGTATTCTGATAACTTAATCATGTTTACATCTAAACTATTAGCTCCAGACTCAAACTATTCATTTCACCTGATAAATGACAGACCATCACTATAAGGCTTTGCGTGTAGCAAACTGAAGCCGGTTTGAAAATTGATGTTGAAGAGTTGTCAACTGTGTCTAACTGTGTTTTTTTTCCGGTAGAAATGTGACCGGTCAGCTGACGGCCGTCTGGACCACGGGGAGATTGAAGTTTTCTGCAGGGAGTTGTTACGGAGACCGGAGCTGGACACCGTGTTTATCCGCTACTCTGCAAATGGCTGTGTACTTTCCACTGTGGACCTGAGGGACTTCCTGAAGGACCAGGGGGAGGATGCTTCTCTCATCCATGCCCAAAGCCTCATACTCACATATGAACTTAATGAGTGGGGTACGATGCTAAGTAACAATACACTGCCAAGTACCAAAGCTTATATGTTGTGTTTAGCAAAACATCTTTGATAAAAAAATCCATGGAAGACAGACAAACTCAACAACTGGCTGTTATGCAATGAACAGAATTATTAAGCCTCTAAAAACCTGATTGCTAAGTAATTAGGTGCATTGTACAAAATTCAACTGCTTGTGTTCAACTTTTATTTGTGCGTTTGCTCGGTACAGCCCAGAAGAACCAGTTCATGACCCCCAATGGCTTCACCATGTACATGCTGTCTAAGGAGAACTGTGCCTTTAACCCTGAACATGCGAGGGTTTACCAAGACATGAAACACCCACTGGCACACTACTTCATCTCCTCCTCCCACAACACATACCTCACCAAGGACCAGCTGACTGGGGACAGCAGCACGGAGCCATACATACGGTAAGAATTAGCAAGGCACAACAGGCATGCATGCAGCTCTGCTATTTGTAGATGGTGTGGTTTTTCTGGGCTCATGCACCCATGACCAGTGTGCAGAGTTTGAGGAGGAGTGTGAAGTGCAGAGAATCCAGGGCCTCACGACAGGGATCAGACGAATGGAGCTAGGCGTAGGCGAGCCCCCTCAGGAGGCAGGGCAGGTGTGTCACAGCCCCTCGGGAGAACGCCTTCGAGGCATGAGAGTGGACTCTTCAGGGCTGGAGGTAAAAGGATGGATGGCCAATGCAGGTTTAGACGGCGGCCAGATGACCAGGAGCTGACAGTGAAGATGACAGGATGTTGGCTGAGACCCCCAATGCAGAGATAGATTAGACACTGACTGAGACCCCTGACACAGACATCTGCCAATCAGTGAATGATCACAAGGACAACCAACTCAGGACCTGACTCAGGATCTGCCTGGGGATTGATTGTTTCGCTGGGCAGCTTGGAAACCTGAGGCTGATGCTTGGGCTGATTTCTGGGAAGCTGGGGCTAAGGTTTGGGCTGGGTGAACAACTGAGTCTCTGTTGAACTGGGCAGTTAAATCTCCATTCTTCTCATGCAGCCTCCTTGGAACCCAAGCTCCCCTGGACTTCCAGCTTCCAGGTCTGAGTTTGACAGGATCTTAGCAACATGGTAGCAGGTCTGAGGACTCAATACGAGCTCACTAGGAATCTGATTGGAGACTAGTAGAGGCTGTGGACATGGAAGATGGTGAAAGATATCCAGTGAAACAGGCTGGGGGGCTAACAGGCCAGGGTGCAGGTTAAAGGCTTGTTGACTCGAGTGCTGGGTTTTGTGTGACCATTTCAAGAATATAATTGAGAAAACAAGACAGAAAAGGAACTAAAACAACCAACAGGAAATAATAAAAGGCCACTTAGAGGGGCAGATCATGACACATGGTACAGTTGTGTCTCAGTTCTGCTTTAAACTAAAACGACGAGACAATGTGTTTTTACCAACTCAGAAACTGCACTTTTTTGTCAAGCTCATACTAAAAGAATATTGTCTCTGACTGGTAATATTGCATCAGAGAACACTAATAATAGATTTGAAAAAATAGAAGCTTTCGACATCACATAGAAGAGGCCGAGTCCCAAGGGTGAGACCGAATAGGTTAAAGAGATCTTTGGTTCCTAAATTGTTGCTGGACAAGGAACTACATGCTATACTGCAATATGTTCGTAGTGTTTCCTGTTGTGGTTTAGTATATATGTTGAATATTGTGCACATCCCTCCTTTCTAGTAGTAATTCCTCATGATGCTGTTTTTGTCTCAGAGCTCTGAATCACGGTTGTCGCTGTGTGGAGCTGGACTGCTGGGATGGAGATAAAGGAGAGCCGGTCATCTACCACGGACACACACTCACCTCCAAAATACCGTTTGTCGAAGTCATTGAGGTTATCAATGAGTACGCTTTTAAAGTGAGTACGCTATTTAAATCTGAACAATTTCACTTGTCGTACAAATAAATTCAGGTATACAGTAATTTGGTTATATCACATATTTACAGTTTAGACATGTGAGCTCTGTGAACTGATTACTTTGATTAATGTGTGTGGACAAAGATGATATACTTATAAATTGAGCGTGTTGTCCAAAAATAGGAAGGTTGGTTTGATTCCCGGCAAGACGCTAACCTGATGGGGCAATGACACTGTGCTGTCAGTGTTTAATTAGGCTGTATGAGTGACAACCGCGTGCTAATGTAGAGGCGCTGTGTGAATGGGTGAATGTGACTTAAAGGTTCAGTGTGTAGAATTTTGTGATATCTAGTGTTGAAGTTGCATGTTGCAGCTGAACACCCCTCACCTCACCCTCTCCTTCCAAACATGAAAAAGAACCTGTGGTAGCTTCAGCTGTCATAAAAACTCAAAAGGTGTTTAGTTTGTCCAGTCTGGACTAATGTAAAAAACATGGTGGGTCCCCTCCATGTAAATATAAAGTATTTAAATATAAAGGGTCTTTTCTGGGGTAAAGAAAACTACAATTCATACAATTTAGATGAAACAAACTAGTGAAAACATCATGAGGATTATTATACATTAAATTTCTGCCAATAGATCCCTTTCATCTAAATCTTACACACTGGACCTTTAAGACTTTGAAAAGCTTTATATAAATGTAGTGCATTTATTAGTTTCAGTGAGATTGCTTCAGAAGAATGTCCCTGACTTCACCCTCTTCTCCCAGGCATCTCCTTACCCTCTGATCCTGTCCCTGGAGAACCACTGCTCTGTGGAGCAGCAGACAGTCATGGCTCAACAACTGCGATCCATCCTGGGAGACAAGCTCCTCACCAAGCCCATCGGAGGTCTGGACCCTCACAGCCTGCCCTCTCCGGAGGTAGGGACACTTTTCCAGTTCAGAAAGTTCAGTTCCCAAAATTCTTAATATGTCTATTGAGAGTGATGGTGTCAGTGAGCTGGAGGCATTAGGTTTTCTGTCCGTCTATCCCATTCTTGTGAACATAATATATCAAGAATGCCTTGAGGGAGATAGATAGATTTGGCAGAATTGTTTAAAGAATTAATTGATTTGATTTTGGTGGTGAAATTCACCGAAATTGTCTTGGAATATTTTTGTAGTTGCCTGAATATTTAACAAAAACAAATGGATTAACGATTTGTCAACCCAGAGGAGTGGAATCTGAACACGGTTAAAAATAGACAATAACCCACTTAATCAGATTCCTCAGCCAGGATTTCACTCTGACGCACTTATAATATCAATACTGTGCCACAATGTGTGGCGGGACAATTTATTCTCTGTCATATACATCAGACGTCAACACTGTTTGTTTTACACTGGAAACCTGGGGCCATCTGCTCCTCCGTGTTATGGTGACTGAGGTGAGCAGATCCAAATAAAAAAAATAAAAATGAAAATCTAGGATCTAGTGAATTTAAATGTGGTTTCATAATGAGACTGTTGGGCCATTCTAGTTGGAATTGGAGTACAGAAGTAGCCGGAGTAAGTGTCAGTCATGAATTAGTACGTAAGTTGGTCTTTCAGGACAATCATTATAAAGCAAACTGCTGTGTGTAGTAAATGTGTGTGTGTTGCTGGTTGTGTCTGTGCAGGATCTCAAAGGGAAAATCCTTGTGAAAGGAAAGAAGGAGCATGTGGAGGGCTCATCGAGCACTTCAGACCTCAGCTCCTCAGATGAGGAGACCAGCAGGACCGAAGGCAAACACCCCTCCAAAAAAGGGGACCCTAAGGTGGGCGTACGTCTTTTTTGAGGGTGGGTGGATGGTGGGATAGTGTACGGACAGACCAAAGAGGTTATGTTTCATTGTTGTTTGTCTGTTTGTGTGTTGGCAGGATTACACAAAAACGTCAGAACCAATTTTGTTAAAACTTTGGTGTAAGGATGGGGTAAAGAGCAAGCAATTGAACGTTTCTTTAACATAGTTTTTCACACATTTGTGTGAATTACTAAAGAAATAATTCAGAGATCTTGATTTAAAAAAAGTCAGGCATACTTAGAGAATGTATATTTGAGTGTGTGGCTTTTCAATTTGGCGGCTTTAAGGGGATTGTTGTCCTTGGCGTCTGTATGCGTTCTACCGAGTGGCATTCTAGTTAAGAAAAGAAAGTGATGGATTTCTCTCTTGCTCTCTCTCTCTCTCTGTGTCATCCTAGCCAAGTGTGTCTAAGCTGAGTCCCGAGCTGTCAGAGCTGGTTGTATACACCCACAGTGTTTCCTTTAAAAGCTTTGAACACGCTGCCAGAAGCCCAGCGACTGAACTGTCCTCCTTCTCTGAGAGTGAGGCTCTCAGACACATTAAGGACTCAGGTATGATGTGTGTGCGTCCGTCATGACATTAACCTTTAGCCTACCTGTGTGGATACGGCGATGAAAACAAAAGTGTCTTTCGCCTCTGGAGTAATGGACTGATTGGACGGTCCTTGTCTTTGTCCTTCACATCCAGGGATGTATTTTGTGCGTCACAACAGTCACCAGCTCAGCAGGATCTACCCCTCAGGTCAGCGCCTCCAGTCGTCCAACTACAACCCTCAGGAGATGTGGAATGGAGGCTGTCAGATTGGTGAGGGGTTATTTTATTGTTATGCAATGATCATAAGAAGGAAACAGACTCAGAAAAAAATCTAACTTCCATAACCCCGAACACCCACTGTGCTGCAGTCGCTCTGAACTTCCAGACCCCTGGTGAGCAGATGGACCTAAACCAAGGGAGGTTCCTGCAAAACGGTCAGTGTGGGTACATCCTGAAACCCCCCTTCATGTGCCAGCCCGGCACCACCTTCAACCCAGAGAATGTTGGTGGAGGTCCTGGCCACAGACCTGTACTGTTCACTGTCCGGGTAAGACAGTGTTCTAACTGAGGAGCGAGTAGCAGAACAGAGGTGTTTTCCCCACTTTCAGTTTGCATTCATGATTTTCACCTGATCTAGGATTTTTCTTAATCTTGGCTCACAAACGGGCCACAATTTAATAACAATGCACAATTCCTGAGTCCGTAAGTCATTCTTAGTTACTGTTAGCTCTCTAGCTTTGAGCAAAGCCTCATGTCATTGAATATATTATGAAAATTGTTTCTCGTTCAAGCACAAAGTGCACAGAAAAGAATAAATCGGAACAAATTCTCATATTTATTGTTAGTATAGTATTGTTGGCGGCTAGTTATCTGAAAAAAAGACCAGTGACAGTACAGGGCCACTTCAGATTTCAGCTAGGGCCAGTGCCCCCCCTGGATCCACCACAATGACACACCACAACCACAACAACACACATATACTCAAAGAATATCATTGTGTCAGAGCACTGTGTGAATATTAGACAGCCTGTCATTCTGCCATGATAGTGAAATGAAGAGTTTCTTTATTGTAATTGCAGATTATTTCAGCTCAGCAGCTTCCCAAGCCAGAGTGGGACAAGCCCAGCTCCATTGTGGACCCTCATGTGTGGGTGGAGATTCATGGTGCTACCATCGACAACAATAAGAAGAAGACTCATCATGTTGACAATAATGGTAAATACCAAGTGACAAAAGGCCTCTCGGCAATTAAACGGCATCGGTAGCAGCAGCCGTACGTGGATTTTACATAGATTAAGAAAGTAAATCAGTTAATATTGTAGGAAAGAAGTGGATTGTGGATTAAAAAAATATTTAACTTAATTAACTATGTTAGTTCTAAGTGACAGCAAAAATGATGAAATGACAACTGAACTTTGAAGTACATTAGGGATGATAGAAGGACTCCTGCCAAGGGATATTTGTACCACAGGGTGTATTTCTGGATTTGTCAGCAGTGGGGGGTAATTTGGAGAAATTACAGAGTTTGGGCAGATGTGGTTTAGGAGACAGAGACGGTTGTCCACTAACCAGAACATCTGCATTTCGAAGTGTCCTCGGGCAGGATAATGGACCCCAAATTGTGCAATACATAAATGTCAACTGTATGAATGAGTGTGTGTGAATGGTTGAATGTGACCTGTACTGTTAATTGCTCTAAGTGGTCGATAAGACTGTGAAACTTCTTTATTTATATTGTCCATTTACCATTCAATCCAATAACAATAATATGAATAAAGATTTCTAAATATTGATAGAAAAGTAAAGGACAAGCTTCAGCAATATGCTAATTGACATGTTGCTGCTGCCTTTCAGACACAGAATATTTAATGATGCACAATTATAAATAAGATCCAAACTCATTCCTTCTGGAGAGCAATTAGAAATAATCAATAGTATAGTATCAGTTTAGATTTGACATTTTGGCCACCTTTGAAATTGGGTGAGGGTAGGCCTGCCTTGGCTCACCAGTGGCTGCACATTATGGTCTGTGAATTAACCTGACACATCATATGAAATAATATAATGAATCTCACACTGCCCAAAGTCTCATCCGTTTAGAGAGGCATTTGTAGCATTGGCTCGAGAGTTCGAGCGGTGGTGTGATCCCTGGCTCCCTCTATCCGCATTCGAAAATGTCCTTGGGCAAAACACTGAGAGAGCAAATTTACTCATTCCTTGATTTCCTTGTTATTCAACTTGGTATCTTTGATGATAGATGTTTCTAAATATACATGCTGCTGTAAATATCCTCTGCAGTACCAACTACTCCAAGTCCTTCAGCCTTTGCTAACTACTGATGTGGTCATTTGGTTGTAGTTAGTAATTCAATTATTAAGCCGAGTTTCAAATTAATAGTAATGAACTTTTGAGAGAGAGTAAGTGAATTGGCTTATCTTTTTGCTTCCTTTAAAGGGTGGTGCCCCAAAGTAACTTTAAAATCAATCAAAGTTGTTTTTTTTATATTATTATTCATTATTTTCATTCTGAATGTATGGATCCACAAGTGTCATGGTAATTCATCCAGGAGTTTTTGCATAATTCTGATAGCGAACAAAGAAACACAGATGAAAGTGTTGTTTCTGTGTTTCAGGCTTTAACCCGCGGTGGGACTGTACATTTAACTTCACCATCCATGCCCCTGACTTGGCCCTGGTTCGCTTCATGGTGGAAGACCACGACTACACCTCCAGCAATGACTTCCTGGGGCAATACACCCTGCCTTTCACCAGTCTCCGCACAGGTGTGGTTAAAGACCGCAGGGTTATATGACGATATAATATGGCGTCTGTAACAAAGACTTCTCTCTTGTCGCCTTCTCTCTCTGACCTCCGCAGGCTATCGCCACGTCCGACTGCTCAAGGTGGACGGCTCCACCCTTTCACCCGCATCGCTCTTCGTCCACGTCACGGTCGGCCCCTGTGAGAGCAGTCCCCACAAATCGTCTGCAAAATCACCGGCCAGGTCACCGACCAAGTCATCCGCCCAGGGACCCTAATCCCCTGCCTCCGTCCAGGCAACGCCACTAAGGGAGGAGATGAAATCTTCCTGGTTCCAGGCGATAAAAGATCTCATCAAACTGGTTATAAAGTATGTAGCATGTGATGTTTTATGAAACAAGAGGAGCATGTTGGTGACAAGTGTGTGACCAGTATTTTAAATTTGTTCTTACTATTCCATGAATGCACTGATCATGGTGCTGAGTGTTCTGATCAGCTCCCTGATCTTACTAAAGGAAGACTAAGACCCAAAAAGATGAAGCTTCGAAACAATCAGGGAGGGAGGTAACATCAATCTATCACTCACTGTGATGTGATGGATAGTTGCTCTGTAATCCCTCCACGATCAGGGTTCGATTCTTGAAGCAGGACTGAAGAACTTAATGTCCACCCATCAATCCAGCCTGCATGAGTCATGAGTCAAGAGAATCTATATGAGACCAACACCAAAGTGTGGGGCCAAGTTTTGTCTTGACAGTTTCTCAAATCCTTTTTATTTATTTTCTATTTATCTTATTTCAGAGTCAGTTTTTATTTGAGCAGCCTGCTGGTATGTGATGGGAAGTGTACTCAGAAAGTATAGACTTTATTTATGGTGTGTGAAGCAGCCGTCCTATATGAAGTGTGACATATTCAAGTCCCTCACATGTGATTCACTCCTTTAAAGAGCAATTGGTCACTGTCATCATTTGCTTTTCTGTTTTCTGAAATCAATCCAACTTCATTTCATGCAGCAACTGACCGTTAGTGCTGCAGTGAGAAAGTACAGGGCAGGGTTCTCTCCGAACATTAACATCGGTCATACTTAGGTTGATGTTATTCTGGAATTTAAATCACAGGGATGCATCTCTCTCTGATTTCTTGCATCCGCCTGCTCTGCTGTCTTTACCTGAGGATCTGCACGTACAGGTGCACATCTTGGTGACGTATCTTCAGTTGTGTAGCTTAGCTTCAGCAGGTTTTTCAATCACAAGACCCCTTAGGCAGGACCACCACAGGTTGATCACACCTGGGTGTATGTCCTGATGTTGGGGTCCAGTTTCCTCCTGATCCAGAGCACTTGGCTCCATCATATTTCTCACATGGACCATTCCTAGATCTTTGAGCAACCTGACGGTGGATATTGAACTAAAAACCCCTGCAGCCAACCTCCAATGTTGTTTTCCAGGCATGTCGTTCTGCCTCAGATGCCACTGCCACATACCAAAGCCTCTTCCTCTCATTCAAGTTTTCTAATAAGAACTTTGCAGGCTGAAGTGGTTCCATGTGAACAGCAGCTGAACATGGAAGTGACAAGATCCCACAGTGTTCAGAAGGTCATGAATCTCCATGCTCATGTGTTTAGAAAAGGAAAATGTCCTTTTGACTTAGTCATAGTGACGTTCAAGTTTGAATGCAGCTCTCAGTATGAATCGTAATTCTAATCTATCGGGGCAATGTCCCCAATACTTCTGTGCATATCAAAAGCCATATGCAAAATTAAAAATATTATATTTTAAAATAGGTTCTTAACAATCTTTGTTTTAAAAAAAAAACAGTAGCTTTTGTTGCTGCTTGTCCGAGACATGCATAGAAATGATCCCATCCATAACTTTTATAATGTAGCCTGGTGTATTATGTTTTATAGTTTTTATATGATAGAATTAGCTCAGTTATGCCATTGCAAGATGATGGTGGTGGCTAGCTACAGCTGCTGCCTTATTGTTAGCTTTTTAGATGAGACCTATGCATACATGTTAAAATGAGTTTTCTTTGTTGTGTGCTGCTTCGCCATTGTTCACTCAGTGTTCAGATATGTTGTGTCTCCAGAGTCAACCTGACTGATGATCCTTTATAACAGTATATTATTAGGGACTTTTTGGTAAAGCACACACTGTGAAACAAAGTGTGAGACCAGAGTTCAATTGGCTGCAGTGACAACCAAGGTTATCATAGTTTTGACATTTTCATTAGTTTTATTTGTATTTGGTTTTTCAGTTTGCTTTTTTATTTCAGTTTAGTTTTAGTTAGTTCAACAAGTGATTTTGTAGTTTTAGTTTGGTTTTTATTTTGAGGAATCGACTAGTTTCAGTTTAGTTTTTATTTTGAGGAATCGACTAGTTTCAGTTTAGTTTTAGTCTTAGTTTTAGTTTTTCCAGGTATTAAGAGAAAGCCTTGACTTGTAGAAGATGAAAAAGGATGAAACAATGTGTGACACCAAATATGGTTTATCAAGTCCTTTAATTTCATTCTTTAACCATCACCTGCAGGACAGGCAGTAATCGGGGGAGAAAACAAAACAACAAGGAAAACGAAGCTGAATTTATCTGCAATTCAGTTTAGTTTTATTTAGTTTTGCATTGTTCATTGTAGTTTTTATTTAGTTTTCGTTTTTTTTTTTCGTTTTCTGTTATTGTCATTGTTATTTTTATTTCAGTTAACAAAATTATTTTTTCATTGCTAGTAATAGTTTTAGTCTTAGTTTTCGTTAACTATTATAACCCTGGTGACAACGTGCCAGTGTGAGAAAACTGCAGGAGATCCTCCACAAGGTTCACCGTGACTTGAGTGTGTGTGCTGATGTTTCAACATGCGACAGATGCAATCCTCTTCCTGATGCACCGCCCCTCGTCTGAAGGCGCGACAGATTTCTGTGCCGTTGTGAACGCGTCTGAGCGGAGAATCTCCTGCTGCTTTGTTCATGTGCGAAAGCCAAACTCTGGAGAAAGTCCGGAGCCAATTGTGTGAACATCCTCCGGAGGTCATGTCTGAAAACAGCTTTGGAAACACGCTCGCTGCTGCTCGCTGCTTTAACTTTGGGCTGTTTCAAACTGCAGCCTTTCTATATTGTCAGTGTTTGAGCAGATTATTCACATGTCTTAGTTAGAAATCACTCTGTGAAGGTATCCACTGTAGATTATTGTGCTAAAGAAAAAAGTTTTATACAATGTTTTTATTGAAAAATGTTTTTTTTTGTAGGATTTGTTAAGAACATTCATATTGTTTATGGAACAAGAAGTACTATGAAGAATGTCACGGTGTCTTTACTTCATAAAGAATCCTTTGACTTGAAGCAGGTTTTCAATCAGCATTGGGTGCATGAAGATGAAGAGTGGTATCCACTCCTGTCCTGAGAAATCTGATCACAAGTGTGAAACATCTGTTCACACCTGGCGTCGGAATCAGGAGGGTTTCAAGCTATTCTCGGGGCCCCAGGCGAGAGTGAGCTGGGGGGCCCTTCATCGAACCCAATCCCTCTTTCCAAAGAAACACATGATACCAAAGCACCAATCAAAACAATGCTTTTATAATCAAAATCATACTGTGCATACTCAACAATAGTAAAACAAGGAAAGTTACGTTCCTGTGTTTTGGGGGTGTATGCATGTTTTTAAAGTGTAGTCTACTCGTGCTAGTTTTTACAGGATTACTAACCCTAGATTTAAGTGCTAACCCCACCAACATCCCATAATTAAAAATTGAAATGACGAAGCTAGAGGCTAGCGGCAAGAGGCTTGAGTTTCCGGCCATGGTGTAATAGCAGATATTACAAAATCAGCTGTTCTCAGAGGCCTCTTGTTAAGAATGCATCTCCTGTGACCACTTGTGATCAGATCTCACTTCCCCGCTCTACATGCAAACAAACATGTGCGTCCTCTCTGTCTACAAAGTGAATGAAGTTGTTTGTTTTAGCCAGTCTGACTGAGGCACATGGGTGTCGGTGTGTTTGTACGTGAGAGAGAGAGCAGGGCCAGGAGGGGCTGAGTGAATCAATGTGCTTAGTGACAGACCTCACAAATAAATCCCTAGTTTAATCAGGAAGTTTAATTTAATTGGGTTGAAATTAGAATTAGAGCTGCTGCCGGTGTGTAACAAACCAAATCTGTTGACAACATTGCACTTACATGTATGAGGTACTGAAAGTGAAAGATTTATACATATGTTAAAAAAGACTATATAAGTTAATATTTTGTTCTTGTCTTCTTGTAACTGTTTGTTTTTTTGCTGCACCAGCTGTTTGCTAATAACTCTGATATAATTTATGTGATCAGGTAATAGATGTACACACAGTGATAGGATAGAAATGTGGAAATGTTAACCCTAACATGAACAGACTGAAGAACCTCATGATATCAGATGAACGCCAGTTTTTAACCAAACAGTCGAATGATGCGTTTATTACTGACATGTATTTTACAGTGAACAATAAAAGTGGAATACCAGCATTGCGTTTTGTTTCATTACAAAAGATAAAGATTTTACATTTGTATGTAACTCTCAAGGGTGATGTCACTGCTCCCACCATCACTGCCCCATACTATTCAGTTCAATTCATTTTATTTGTATAGCGCAAAATCATAATATACATTATCTCAAGGCACTTTACATAGAAGGTCAGGACCTTAAAATCTTATTAATATAGAGAAACCAAACAGTTCCCACAATGAGCAGCACTTTGGAGACTGTGGAGGAAAAACACCAGACTCAATGTGGGCGGTCATCTGCCTCGACCGGTTGGGGGGAGCAAGGGGGGGAGAGGAGAGAGAGAGATAGGGAGGAGGGGGAGAGAGAGAGGCGAGAGAGACCAGGAACACTTGAGCACCATCAGGTATCAGATCTGACCAGTTAAAATGTAAACAATAACAGTGTAAAGAAGTTATTGAGTATTATTGATAACAGTCACAATTCATATAATAAAAAATTACTGATAAACTTTGACAGTCGTCTCCAATCCTGTTGCAGATATTGAGGACATGATCTTGGCTGTGTTTAAGTGCTACAGGCCTACAGGGGGCAGTCTGTGGGGTTCACTTATTCTTGCGGTATGACCAATATTTTTTTCCTTCCAGGTCAACTACAGCTCCTCTTATTCCAGTGCATACACCATGTGTCTGCTCACTGTAAGAATAGGTTTATCTAATCAGTGAGGGTCTCTTTCAATCTGTTTTTTTTAGTTATTGGTCCATCTACACATTCTACAGAATGCCTTTAAATTTGCACAACATTGCTCTGCCCTAGTTAAATTAGGAAGTAAAGTGAAATTCATGAGTAAAACTGTTGGGTGTAATTATTTGGAAGCAAAACAAAAAACTTAAAGATCAAAATTCTATTCAACTGCATTAGATGGGATGGTGACCTGTCCAGGATTTGGCCCACCTCCATCACCAATGTCAGCTGAGATTTGCTCCATCACCTCTGCAACCCTAAAAGGGTCTGAACAGTTTAGATGATGGATGCATGCATGTAGGATAGATTCTAATTTA